AACTCACTGACAAAAACATATAGGCAGTTGACTTCTTAGCTATTAAAAATGGCTCTTTGGTGCAAGTATTTAAAGTTTCCTTTTATTTCTTCCCTTTTTATCAGTGTTAAAGTTTTCTTTTAGAACATTGGACCTTGTATATTGAACCTAAAATCTGCTTTCTTCCCAAAGACTGTTTCATCGATAATCTCACAATGAGTCAAGTAGGTACCAAGCCTTCAACGCTTCCAGGCAAAGCACAGAAAAGATGCAAAACCCAACACCGTGTGTGGGTCCCACACTTTGACCTTACCACCTTGAAAAGCTGGCAGCGGGTTTCTGCAGTCAGAGTGTGTGGCTGGAGGCTGACAAAGGGCTGTGATTATTATGCAGGACACACAGCTCTCTCATTAGCACCACACTGATTAGAGTGTACAATCACAACTCTGTGATACCCTGGTGCAGGGCCTTCCTCACATGGAATTTGCATCATCTGTACATAAATCCCACAGACTGACATTTTAATGAGTATTTTAACAAAGTCCAAAGGACAATTAGAAGCATCAACTTTGCTAGAATCATGTTTTAAGACACAAAACAGGCATGGTGCCAACGAAAAGGGTTCATTAAGGAGAAATCATTTTACTAAGTCCAGACAAGAATTTGAAAGCAACAACCCACTTTTCCAGGTGGCGGCTGCTTGGTTTCTGTCTTTCCCTCCTCTTTTTGAAGTTTGTCGTGTAGCCTTCGTGGAGCTCGAAAATCCAGATTGCAGCTGTCTGGAGATGGGGCTCCCAGGGGTCCCGAGGATTCTTGTCTGAGTAGTCAGTGCTTTACCCCTGTGAGCTCTTATTCATTGTTAAGGCAAAGGATGGTATTTTAGTTTCACTAAGAATCCTCAGGGTCATTTCCCAGGACCCTCAGAGTGTCTCCCGTCTTTAACCCAGGGCCATGTCATCAGAGAGGATGAGAGTCTTGTCCCCTTGCCTGGACTCCAGCGCTCCTGGCTGAGTTCAACTACTTCCAAAACACTCATTTTAATTCTCACTTTCACATTAGAAATTTTAGAATTCTTCTCTTTGTTTATAGGCCTGAGTCAGAAAAGAAATTGGGCCTGAACTCACTGGGATGGACGGACAGCTCCACTGCCGCCCTGCACTGTGGTGTAACCCGGCCTAGCATGGGTTGTGCTGATTATCTCATCTGCTAACAAGTCCGCCTCGTCCACTGGACTCCAGTCTCTTCAGGACAGAGAATCTGCCTTATTAGGCTTTGTGTCACAGCATTGTGACTGGTGCATATAGATGTTCAATAAAAGTATGAAAGTTGGGCCCGGGGATTTAGCTCAGTGGTTTCGCCACCTGATGCGCAGGCGCAAGGACCTGAGTTCGATCCCTGGTACCAAAAAAAAAAAACCTTCCATTGAATGAAAAAAAAAATTTTTTTTTTTAAAGTACAAAAGTTCTGGGCATGGTGATGCACACCTGTGATTCCAGCACTTGAGAGGCTGAGGCAGGAGGACTGCCCTAAGTTCAAAGCCACCCTGGGCTACACAGTGAGTTCAAGGCTAGCCTTAAACAACACAGCAAGAAAGAATGGACAAGAAGTTAATGAAAATATCACAAAGAATTAGGAAAATTCATAATAAAATCATGTTGAGATTCCACTAGATAGAAAGATCTAAGCTATGTGCCTATGTGCATATGTGTGTGTGTTACTAGAGATGGAACACAGGGCCTTTACACTGAGCTACATCCCCAGTCCTTTTGATTTTTTAAATTTTGAGACCGAGTCTCGCTAAGTTACTAAATTGCCCAGGTTGGGCTCAAACTTGTGGTCCTCCTGCCTCAGCCTCCCAGAGTGCTGGGATTACAAGTGTGCACCACCATATCCAGTTATGATTTTCTTAAAAACTGACAGAAATGATGGGACTGATGTAAAGCATCTAGAATTTTCATGCATGACTAATGGGAATGCAAAGTAGTACAGTCGCTGTGGGAACAGTCTGGCAGTTTCTTATAAAGCTTAACAGAAACTTACCATATGACTCAACTATACCACTTCTACATATTTACAAGTGAAAAGGAAAACTTAGATGCACACAAAAACCCAAGTAAACAGCGATATATACACACCCACATTTATAGCAGCACAGTTTATAATAGCTGAATCTTTTAAACAGCCAAAATGCCCATCAACCAATGAATGGATGAAGAAGGTGTGGGGTTTTTTATACAATGGAGTACTACTCTGCCGTAAAGAAAGATAAACTTGAGACTTTTTTAGCTAAATGGATGCACCTTGAGACCATACTCTTAAGTGAAATAAATCAGATACACATGTTTAAATTCCTCGTTGTTTCTCTGGTGTGAGAAACTGAAAGTGTCAGTAAGTACCAAGATGTACAATAGATATTGGGAAATGGGATGAAAATGTTCAAATAGGAAGTGGAACAAGGGAGGGAGGAAGGGGAAAGGAAGGAAGGAACAAGAAAAAAGAGAATAGAAAGGAAAAATGGAAACAAAGCTTTTGTAAATAAGAAGGGGAAGATGGGTTGAAGGGAGGGAAGAGGAATGGGAAAAAAATAAGCAAAATATATCATGCACATGTACAAACTCCTTTTGATGAATGTGATCATTATGTATATCTAAAATGTACCAATAAAATAAAAATATATAATACCAGTTAAAAAAAAAAAAAAACAGGTAAAATGGGTTTATTCATAATTGCTCCAAACTGGAGACAATCCAGCTGTCCTTCAGCTAATGAGGAGACAGTGGTACAGTCACCAATGAGATACCACACGCAACTGAAAGGAGCAGACCACCGGTGTGTGCAACAGTGTGCATGGGTCTCATATTATGCTAAGTGTGAAAAAGATACATACAGTCTGATTCCGTTGCTATGACATCCTGGAAAAGACACGACTAGAGGGACAGAGAAGAAATCAGAGTTCCCAGGAGCTTGGAGTGAGGAGTGGCTGAGGCCACAGGAGGGGCACAGGGCAGCTGTGAGGCCGTGGGGCTGCATAGGGGCTGGGCCTGGGCCTTGGGCAGGGCTGGGCTGCACAGGAGTCAGACACGCAGACCTGTACGGCTAAAACTAAGCACATTTAACTGCCTCTGTATGTTACAAATTTAATTCAAAAAATTAACACATTAACCACCCCCAAGTGAAACTGGGAAAGGATGAGGAAAGGAGGTGATGGTGCAGGGTGAAGATGAGCAAAGTATGTGATGTGCGTGCACCATCTGCCAAAATGAAGCTCATCCATTGGAATAATCCATAAAAAATTGACAGAAAAAAACAAACACAAAAGAAGGGACTGCACCCCTGTACGGAGTGATTTGGAGAGTTTAAGTCAGATGAAGACAGAAAAGTTACCATTACACTTGGCAATGCTAGGTGTGGTGCCCCACACAAAATCCCAGCACTCAGGAGGCTGAGGCAGGAGGATTGTTGTGAGTTTCAGGCCAGCCTGAGCTACACAAAGAAACCCTGAAATAAATAATAAATTTGGTAAGACTGGTAACCTTGGCCAGCCCCATTTCTGTGGAAGTCTAGAACAGAAGCCAGTTTGGGTTGAGAATCCTGGGTGAGAGAGTGGAGATTGTTGCCACTTCTTTTGTGAAGTCTCCTCTTAAAGAAAACCAAGGAAGAGCAGCATAACTGGAAAAACATGGGGCGTGGGGCACATGAGCACTGTTTATCACATACTGGCCATGGGTGTGTGGATGCAATCACCCCTCGAGTGACATGAGAGAACAGGATGATACGGCTGGAGAGGACGGGTGGCTGATCACAGGAGTTCTGTCCCCAAAAGAACAGAGTGGTCACAAAAGCCTCAGGCTGTCCCACGGTGGTCACTTGCTGTACCCAAGGGAAGGCAGGAGGAGGGCAGTCCTTTCAGGGAGAGCAGATGAGACACATGTAGTTCTTTCTGTGTCTATTTTTTCAAAGAAACAGCAAGTGAGGTCAAGTGCAAAGAGTGGAACTGGCTGTTGGAGATTTGATGAGGAAGCAAAGCTATAAGATAATTTTGGAGACTGGAAGAAAAGCATATTGAAAATAGATGGAGAGAGAAATGGGTGTACAATGCACCCTTTACACAGAGGGAGGCTGCCACCATGCAGGTGTGTGCGTGCACACCAGTGCCTGCATGCACACCTGCACACCAAACCAAAGAGGATCTTGGGAGGGGACTTCTGCTCTTGGCCTTGAGGAATTTATGCCACCTCCAGACTCTCCCCTGGGTCCTTTGTGAGTGACGGATCATCTTACAGCTCTCCTGGGTTTGTGGTATATGGAGACTACCTGACTTTCGGTTAACAGAAAGCCCTATAAATTGTCAAGTTTTGCTAGTAAATAAAATTTCACATCCCATAATTCATCTATGCCTCTAGAAACCTCCTCTGTTTTCAATTAGTTTTGATATGCATCATTACTTCTCATTTAGAACCACATTGGAATTTTGCTTTCAACCACTTTATATTTATTCAAATACTGGCTACCTTTTCGTTCTTCAAGAGATTCTACTTGTATCCTACTGTGGTTGCTTTTATTCTATTATATAAAAAATGTCCTATTTTTATAATATTGAGATATTAAAATTTTCCATGTACGAGTTAAAAATTCTCTTGATCTACAGTATGATGTGTATGGCCAGACAGCACAGTGGACATCCATAGAGAAAGCACTCTTCCCGAGTTAATTTTGGGATTTGGTTGTACATGAGCCCATGTGCAAACCTACGGAGGCCTTGATCCTTTGTTCCCAAGTACCTTCTTCCTGGCACTTCCGCTGTGGCTGATTAGCTTATGTTAATTAGACTTGACTAAAAAGATCCAGGGGGGCCGGGGATTTAGCTCAGTGGTTCCGGTGACTGCCTCGTAAGTGCAAGGTCACGAGTTCGATCCCTGCTACCAAAAAAAAAAAGATCCAGGGGAATACAGCTGTGGGTAACTTTCCCAACAGGCGGTCTGGGAGGCACCTGCCTCACTTTCCCTGTCCTCCTTTCCCAGGGTGGAGCTTCAGTATGGGCTCAGCCTACCAGTTCCACAGCTGGCGCGTCTTCGTCATCGTCTGTGCACTGCCCTGTGTCTCCTCGGTGGTGGCCCTCACGTTCATGCCCGAGAGCCCACGGTTCTTGTTGGAGGTAATGCTTGTTAGGATAGACCCTCAAGCAGCCATGAACATTGGAAAGGGTTGCTCACTGATGCTGGGAGGTAGGTTTCCTCTTGGGAGGTGGGTGTCTCCTTCCCGCTGTGGAACTGTGGAAGGGTTGGTTCCATGCGTCAAGCTCCCTGGTGGCCAGAAACACACATGTTCCTCCTTAAGCAAATAACTTTTCACTCAAAAAAGAGAACATGGCTTATTGTTTCATAAATGAGAGTTTACATCCACAGGTACTGCTGGTCATTATAGACAGATTACTTGAACTGCTCGTGTAGTCAGTGATACCCAAATGGCCATGTGTTCCAATGGGAAATATCTAAACCCATTGCACAACCACACTCCATGTGTGCCAGCAACACAGGGAGGTGACTGGGGAACGAGAGGTGTAACTGGTCTCCTAGCGCCTCACTGTCCAATGTTTCTTAGGTTGGAAAACACGATGAAGCTTGGATGATCCTGAAGTTAATTCATGACACCAACATGCGTGCACGGGGCCAGCCCGAGAAGGTCTTCACGGTGAGTCTGCGCCCGTCAGTGGCTTAGTTGCTGTGACCTGAGCAGGTAACATCAGGGTTCTGGACTTCACTTTCCTCATCTGCAAAGTAATTATAATATACATAATTATATAATTATGTCATATATTTATGTAAATATATAATTATAGTAATGCATACCTGATGGGGTTGTTGAGAGGGACCCACAAAATATTGTGCAGAAAGTACTTAGCATCGTGTTTGACACATTCTGAGTACTCCATAAAGAGCAACTATTTAATATATACTCACACCTGCACAGGTACAGATGTGTGTGTACACAGGACTGTGTGTATATGTGGACAGGGGCCGGCAATAAGAAGACAAAGATAAGGTTGTAAACTCATGTTCTGGGCTCCCACCTTACAAGCCCACAATTTACCATCTGTCTTCCTTTCTCCTGGAACCACTAGGAGGCGCCTTATCACATGAGGTGCCCGAGGTATGGTAGGCTCCCACCTGGCTGGCTGGGCATCTGATGGGAACTCTGATTCAAGATTTCCGAGATGCCAGATAAGCACTGTGTCCTATGCAAGAGGAACTTGGATGCTTGGCCTCATACAGAAGCTCATGCCAAACAAACCCCAGTGAAAACTCCATAATAAGAATATAAAACACATATATTAAACTATGTTTAAAAGTTCCTCCCAGAGGCTCGCAATTTAGCTCAATGGTAGAGCAGTTGCCTAGCATGCATGAGGCCCTAGGTTTAATCCCTAGCACCACCCACCCAACCCCTCCCCCCAAAAATCCTCCAAATTTCAAAACCAGACAAGCTCATTCACATAAGGAGATAGATATTCTCGTAAAAGGAAGAGTCCAGAGAAAATGCCTCCCCCTATAACCTTCTTGAAAAAAAAGCATGATACATTTATGCTAAAATGAAGTTAATTGATGTCAAGCCAGGTGTGGTGGTCCATATCTATAATCCCAGTACTCTGGGTGGCTGAGGCAGGAGGATGCAAGTTCAAGCCCAGCCTAGGGAACTCAGTAATTTAACAAGACCCTGTCTCAAAATTTAAAAAGGGGTGGGGATGTGGCTCAGTGCAGAGGACCTAGGTTCAATCCCCAGTACTGAAAATTTTTTTTTAAATCGTAAGTCAAGAAACAAGTTAAACATATGTGTTTCTACATAACTATTTTTAATATATGGATCCAAGGCAAATGTAAATTATCTTTTTGAGAAAAAGTCTGAAACTATTATTTTCTTATATTCTATAATAATTTTCTATATTTAAAGCCACAGAAATTGAGAATGTCAAAAATATTTAAGGAGAGAATTTTTATACAGGTATAGTTAGGAGAATACCTTTGAAAAATTAAAATTAACCAAATTTAGAATGAAATTTGAGACTGGATATATATATATACAGCTCAAAAATATTGAACAGGGCCGGGGATTTAGCTCAGTGGTTCCGGCACCTGCCTCGCAAGCGCAAGGTCCCGAGTTCAATCCCTAGTAGCAAAAAAATATATATTGAACAGAAGAAATATATAGTTCATTTATAAGACAAGAGAAAATAAAGGAATTTTTTAAATTACTAATCTTAGGACTAGAGTGGACATATTAGTTCATTAAATAGTATTAAATGAAAGTGGTATAAATACTACTAAAAGATAAAAATAATCAAATTGGATCAAGAATTAAAGTCAACTATGCGTATTTTACATGAAATACAGTAATGCCAAATGCTCACCCTCATTAGTAGGAACTCCAGTCATAAGGGCCATTCCTCAGGTGACACTTTCCCTCCAAAGACAGACACCATGACAGACCCATCGAGTTCTGTCTAAGATGTCAGGAATCACCCTTCATAATTCTGAGCCCCTCACACACATGGAGGTACTTAGTAAAATTGTGAAATTATTTACTGCAGGTTTCAAAAACCGAAATCCAGTAATAAATGAGAAAACAATTACTGCATATCAGAGAATCAAAGCAGTGTAACCAAGCATAAAACTAATCTCTGGGTTTTCTGATAACCATGGCAAAAGGCAAATTTAATGGATTACAGAATTTTTGATAAAATAAATAGCAATGCCTCTGTTTTTCAGGAAAAGTTGACTTTAATTCTAATTTGTGAAAAGTTTATTAATAGGCCTTATTGTAAGAGATATTTACCAGTATAATGGATAATATCTTCAATTCAGTGAAACTTATGGAAAAAGAAAATATTTTATATATGGCCATTTCTTAGGTCAGTGATTAAGATGGTTGTCCTTTGAGAAGCCAGAGAAAGGTAATCCAAGTATGTGGCTTTGGCTAAATGTGGCTTGATATAAACATTAGGTACGAAATAATCAGAACTATTTCCACAATATATATATCTCATTTTATATAACACATACACCAGTCTCTCACACTGTTAAATTCACAGTGCTGTCAGGATAAAGACAAAAATCCTCAATCTAGATGCCAAGGACCTGTCCATCCAGTCCCTTCCTACTTTTTGGTTCCTCTCTGTGGATCCATTGGCCATTCAGTTCCTCGGACTTGTCATTTGACCCAGTCTGCCGTGTGCTACTCCCTTTACCTGGAATGTTCATTCTTTACGTGGGAAGTCAGTCAAATTAATGAAAACTGGATGCATGGCTTTTTTAGAAAAAAAAAATTAAATCTTTTGATATGTGGAGTCATGCAATTAGACTAACATTGTTTTGCCTAAAATAGATTTGGGAGAACATGCATCAAACATACAGGGACCTAAATAAGATTTCAGTGGCTTAAACAAATCAATTACAGTTCTTAAAATGTGTGAAAAGGGCCTGATTAAGTAGCTCCCTGTCATCTTATTTATTCATTTCATTTTATTTAGGAAACACATTTTCCATAAGGTAATGATAGGCTTTAGTCTGGCCTCTGGCTTCTATCTACATTACCACATTTTTTTAAGTACTAGTAATCAAACCCATGACCTTGCATATGCTAAGCAATATTCTATGCCGAGCTATAGCCCCAGCCCCACGGGCTTTTAATTAGCAAAATTTTCTATGCAGCATAATGGAGAAACGAAGATCAGTAATGGATGCTCTCCATTAAAGACCTGGAGCCCCTTGGACAGGTCCTTCTTTTGAGTTAATGCATAGTAACATTAACATTATTAAAGAATATTTTAATTAAAAGATCATAAGGCTGGAGGAATCTGGAGATGTCATGCAGTACCTTATGTCACTTAAACCTTCTCAGCCAGTTGAGGACAAAACCTTTATTTAAGATCTTCTGAAAAAGGGTATCTGGCAGGGAGGTCTCATTGCCCTGCTTGCTTGCCTTTGCTTCCAGAAGATATGAGTTACCAAGTCCACTCATACTCATCCTTGTTGATGTTATTATATAACATTACTATATAGGTTAACCTTAGGAGTATAAAAGTTAGGGGAGGCTGGGCGTGGTGGCCCATGCCTGTAATCCCAGCACTCAGGAGGCTGAGGCAAGAGGATCAGTGCGAGTTCAAGGCCAGCCTGGGCTACATAGTGAGACCCTGTCTCAAACAAAAACAAAAACAAAAGTTACAGGAGAATAAGGTGAGAACACTCCAAAGAATGGATGGATCATCTCAAAGTCATGGTTCTACCATGACAAATTTATCTTTTTTCTTGCTATGAATACAATATGAGGAAGCTTCATGAATTCCCCAAAGGTCTCTTTTTTTAAACTCTTCTTGTTCTGTTCTTACCTTAAATGTTGTTGTTTTCCAAGATTTCATTTTCAGCTAACTGGTATTTTAACCCTCTATACTCTCTTTAGCTGATCTCAGCTACTTCCTGTGCCTCTTTCTCCTAATGAAGAAATCTCCTGAGCTCCACATGTGCATGTGGAAGGGCTTTGTGGACAACCTTCTATATTCAATGGCCCTTAAAAGCTATATCCCTAAATCTGAACTTCACCTTAAAAGCCCCCTGCCCTCCTTCTGGTCCTAAACTCTATCAGCAAGTACCACCAGCACCACCCAAACCGAAACCCTGAAAATCATCTTATTATTTCTTTCATTTATCCTTTTATAGACAAAAAATGACAGTGCCTACTATTCTACTTCCTAAGTATTGGCCATCCCTGTCCTTTATTTCCCATCCCGACTGTCACTGACTTGGTTAAATCTTCAACACCCACTGCCTTCTGACTTTGCGCTATTTTTCAAGCCCAACCTCCTTGCAGTTACCCAATACGTATTTTCCCTTGTACCTCTAGATGTTTGTACATGGTATCCCTCCCCCCTGGAGTGCTGTCCAAGTGGTTTATACATTTAGCAGATAACATACTCTTCTGTCTGCCTCAGCTCGGATTCTGAGACCATGAATGAGACCTCTCACTGCAGGTCACATTCCTCCCCCATCTCATGCAGACCTCCTGAGAGGACTTTCATGCGTGGTAGTTGCATGGAGGCCATGGTATTTCTGTGTTTGCATTTCCCATGGGTGCCAATGAGTAAACAAGCAAATGTCGGTGAGTGCAGAAGTGGAAGCTTCTCAAAAGTAAAATGTCGAATGAGAAGAACCTTCCAGTGATACAAACAACAACTTGAGTGTCATTAAATACTCAGATTGTTCTGAGCCGACTATGTTTGGAATCCCATACTTAACTCAGAAATGATTTTTGTTTGAAAGATGCCAAGGGTCCTGATGTCCTGTCTGTCAGCAGCCAGCTTTGGCACCTGGACTCTCACAATAGAGCTGCCATTTGAGGTTTGGGCAGCCTCTCACAAAAACCCTGCTCACATCCTATCAGGGGTAACGTGGACACATTTTCATGTCTTCTCAGATTGCTCCAAACCAGGCAGATATCTGTGAACAGGGAAGACTGGCCAGGTCCGCAAAGGAGCCTTCTTTCTTCCAGTTCTCTTTGCAAGATTCATTCTCTATATTGAAAGCATTGTTTTGCCTGCCTTCTGTTTTGTTTCCTCAGCAAAGGAGGCTCTCAAGTCACACATGCTGCTTTTCACCCTGAACCACTGTCATTTAGTTCTTTATGTAAGCAAAGAGTCCACGTTGATGCTTGTGATGGAAAGAAACTCATTCACATGGTGTCCCCAGTGGCAGCTGGTGGTCAGCCACTGTGCGCAGGGAGAAAGGGCCATCATGGTCCTCTGTGAAGAACATTTGGGCGGGAAAGTGTTCAGAGCTGCAGTTAGGGGCCAGATTCACCAAGTGGGTTCCCCAAATTTTGCACAGTCACTTTGGTCCCGGCAACATAATTCTAAACCCAGAGGTAGTCTATGTGCATGTTTTCTCTCTAATGCGTGTCTTGGTGGTGATGATTCAGAGCAGGCCATTTCCGTCTCCAGACTACTTGCCGTCCTCTGTCTCTCTGCAGATGCCTCGCCACTCATCCTTTATTCAGTTCTTGGAGGTGTGGTTTGGATCTGGAGACCCAGCTCAACAGCCTTGTATGTGTGTGGAGTGACTAGCAAATACTGCATACTTTCTATTGAAGTCGGTTTTTGCTCTTTAACAATACATTGTGAGCTTAAACTCAGCACTTTGCACTCTCTTGTTCTCTACAGGTAAACAAAATCAAAACCCCTAAGCAAATAGATGAGCTGATTGAAATCGAGAGTGACACGGGAACTTGGTACCAGAGGTGTTTTGTTCGAGTCCGCACCGAGCTGTATGGAGTGAGTACTGAGTCCCGAGGGACTTGTGTGTCAGCTTCACTTGGAGATAGTCAGAAGAGGGGCTGACTGTGACATCCCATGAGCTCCCCCTGCCCCACCCAGGATGCCTGCTCCCAGGGTGGGACCAGGCAGTTGGCCCCTTCTGGATGGACAACCAGCTTCCGTGGCCCATCTTTGGGAAAGAAGGCGTCAGGCCAGGAATCGGGGGCAATAACAGGCTGCCCTACATCCATGGGCCTCCAGGAAGCTGAAGAGTGAAAAGTCCAGTATTTGGTTCCCTATGGCCTTAGGCTTTTACGTTTTAAGTTAAAATGAATTCAGCCCAACAAAAACTCAGCTTTTTAATAATTTGGTGGAAAAGGCGAAATTGACTAACTGGGAAAACTCTCTGATATTTCACAGATTTGGTTGACTTTTATGAGATGTTTCAACTACCCTGTCAGGGAAAATACAATAAAGCTCACGATCGTTTGGTTCACCCTGTCCTTTGGGTAAGTGATATTTAAATTCTTGAGGCAGTGGACTCGTTAATGTCACCTCATAATTCCCAATCATGTGGCTGTCTTTTCTTATACTTCTTGGTGCTGTTCACCTGCTGGGAGAGAGTGTTATATGTTTTGTTGTGATTTGTTGACAGGTACGGTTTTTCTAAACCAATGATGCTATTTATATTGTTTAAAATACGGGCTTGCAGAGAGGCATAGTGTCATATACCTGTAATCCCCAAAAGGCTGAGGCAGGAGGATTGCTGTGAGTTGGAGGCCAGCCCGGGCTGCAGAGTGAGCTCAAGGCCAGGATGAACTGCATAGTGAGACCCTGTCTCACAGAATTTTATAAAACATGGTCTGGCAAAGCAAATAGTGTTGGACAGTCACTAAAGCCCTAGATGGTTCGCCCTACAACTGTCCACTGCCTCTCCTCAGCTCACCCAGCCATAGCAGCCTCTCCACTGTCCTTCAATAACCAGGCTGTCCCTACGCTGCCTGGAGAAGTCACCCAGGTAGCCCCCTCCTCATTTCCTCACCCCTTCTGGCCTTTCCTCAGGGACACTGTGAACTTTCTTTCTTTTTCAATATCGGCCCCTCTGCATTCCCTGTTCCCTTCTCAGCTTTATGATTCTCTATGGCCTTTTGCACCTTCTGCAGTGCAAAAGGCTTCATTATTCTAATAAAGAACAGAGCTCTGGCTTCTGGCTCTGGAAGCTACATGAGGACAGGGGGTATAACTATCTGTTCACTGATATGACACACAGTAGTAGCTCAAGAAGTGATTGTTTCCAAATGAATACAATGCCATGTATGTGCTCTAAGAAAAGAGGAAGCAGGGAGACAAATTCAGGCTTTTAGTTTATTTTCTAAGGGTTGACATCTCCACTTTAGAATCTGTGTGTGTGTGCAACTCTACTGTTGCCTAGAATACCAATCAGATGATGCCCTGTTAGGTCCTAGGGCCTCTTAACATTTATCCTGCAAGCTCCACCTCTTAAACTAAAACAGGCAAGTGATCAGAGACAGCCACTGTTTCTGGTGCTGGCTGAGGTTTAACACAGGGAAGGAAGATGCTGGGAGTCCATGTCCTGCATGCTCTGTCTGCTGTGTGACTGGTTAGCCATGCAACTCAGGTCCTCATTTTTAAGTTATGAGAGTTGGTTTAGAATATGTAATGTATTTCTCACCCAATTTCTAGAAATTCCATTAACCTTGAAAGGAAGGGAGGCCTGAAAATTAACACACATCAGGTGCCTATTGTGTGCTAAGCACTGGGTTAGGTACAAAGAAGAGGACAGAGAGGGAGGACCTCTCTCTGGGAGTGAAAGCTTACATGATAATCATTATTCGGCGTCAACATATTCATTTTTGGCCAGATTTGAAGTTTCTATCATTTCCTTCCTGCTGTCTCCCTGTGCCTAACATCTTGGATATTCAGCAAGTGCTGAATAAATGAAGAATTAGCTATCCCTGTTATGGGCTTTCCAGTGTGCAGTGTGCTTCCCTCATGATTGCCATTTGGAAGTATTTGCTCTTTGTGTGTGACTAGAGAGTCATCCGCAGCTGTTGTTGCCCTCTTGAGTTATTTCTTATTCAGCACCCCTGTTGTAATCAATTCATGGTCTTCAAAAAGAAGGATGGAATTTGTGGGATCTGGAGACACAGGTGTTTCAGGAATCCCAATGACAATAATGAAATGACACGCTGCCCTGTGAGTACCCTCAGTCTGCTGGATACCTTGCATCGCATTTAATCTGAGCAATCACCAGGGAAGGTGGCACCGTACCATCATTCCAGTGTTAGAAGTGGGTGACACAGGATTAACCAACTGGCCCAAGTTCACAGAGCTGACAAGTGGCAAGGCCAGCACTCAAGCCCAGGCTTCCTGCACTAGCTGTACTCAGAACCACTTCTTTCCTTGTGCAGCAGAGGTCACTGGGCACACACCAGAGCAGGGCTTCCCAAAGCATGTGCTTCTACTCCCAGGGTCTTCAGTTCATCAGATCTGGATGAGGCCAAGTTCATAGGCTCTGTCCAGAGATCCCACTTTGGGAACTACTGTAATGCATTAGACTGGCAGTGTCCAGCAGAAATATGTGAATCCATATACCATTTTAAGTTTTCTGGTAACCACACACCAAAAAGCAAAGTAAAAGGAAACAGGTGAAATGAATGGATGAATTTATTTCTCTAACTTGTGGAGGCTGGGAAGTCCAAGATCAAGGTGCTGAGAGGTTTAGTGTCCGGAGAAGCCTGGCTCTCCTTATGGAATGGCACCTACCTGCTGCGTCCCACAGTGGGGACCAATTCTGTGTCTCAATACAATGGAGAGACAGAAGAGCAAGAGGGAAGGAAGAGGCTCCTCCGCGCACAGCTATTATTTATAATGATAAGGACTCTGCCCATGTGATTTAATTACCATCTAAAAGCCCCACTTCTTTTTTTTTTTGGTACCAGGGATTGAACTCGGATCCTTGCGCTTGCACAGCAGGTGGCGAAACCACTGAGCTAAATCCCCAGCCCCACTTCTTAATATGATCACATTGGGGTGTAAGACCCAATTTTAGGGAGACACATTCAGACCCCTATGTGTGGGTACAGAATCGGATTCTTGCTGCAATCTCTTCTCAGAGAGAAGGTTCAGGGATTACGTAGTTGGGATTTTTCAGCTAGCCAAACCATCTCTCTAGCTTGACTTTTGCCGAGTAATCTTGTAGGAGATAGGGTGCCTCCAAATGCTATGTGATGATTCATTCAAATATTAGAGGGAGAGGCCACAGCTGGAACCATTGTCCATGAAAATGTCAAGAGTTGCTCTTCACCCTGATGTCCCAGAGCCTTTATAAATGTGTGTTTCTTTGTCTTTGCAGGTACTATGGATTATCTGTGTGGTTCCCTGATGTCATTAAACATCTTCAGTCCGATGAATATGCACTGCTAACTAGAAATGTGCAAAAAGATAAATATGCAAATTTCAGTATTAACTTTACAATGGAAAATCAGATTCACACTGGAATGGAATACGACAATGGCAGGTCTAGAAACTTTGAAATAATTAATTTGCTACCTATTCACAAAATCTGATTTCTTGTTAGTATTTACTGTACTAAAACCTGTAGGGTTTGTTTGTCTTTTAGTTTTTACACTTAGTTATTTTCAGGCTAAATTTGAATACTTCTAAATGGTGTCTAAAGATGCCCATGTATCAATTACTTCACTTAAAACTACTTCTGAAACTGACTTGTCTTACATTTATTAATTAGCTGAGTTGGCTAGTGTGAACAGAAAAGTTAGAGAGACCCTACAGAGCAAAGAAATTAAGGAAGAGAAAAGAAAACTAAGATGGAGGAGAGAGTTACTTACTTCACGGAATAAATCTGAAATGTAATTTGATGACCCTTCTATTCCTGAGAAAGGAGCTGCTTCTCAGAATTCTTCCTTTCTCCACTATGCTGGGCCAATAATTGGAGCTCAGTTGTATGAGGATGAGTTTCCGTTAGAGAATGGAATGACTCCCCAGGTTAAGGGCTTTGAAAATGGCGCGTGTGTTATCAAGGGAAGCTGCAGAGTGTGGCTCAGGGAGGCGGTCCCCATTCATTGTTGAAGAAATGGTGAGGAATGGACAAGGTAATTATGTCCGTCTGTGGGCTGTCTGACAAAATAAGTGTTAGTGTGGGTTCGGGATAGCTTACATTACTAGGAAATGGCCCCAACTTCAAAAATGATAAAACTGAAGTCCAAAGTAATTGAATTAATTTTTCCAAAACAAAAACCAGTTTGAAAAGATGAAAAAGAATTCTGTGCAATGCTCCTGGCCTGTGTGATGGAAACGAGGTCATGGACTAGGCACTCATTGTTCTGATTAGCAATTCATTGAGGGCCCTAATCATAGCGGAAACCAGCTAGGGTCAGCTTCCCTCTCCCACCTGAAATTCTGGCTTAAATCTGAACCTGTGTTTTACAAAAACTTTGCCATCAAATACTCAGTAATTCTGGAGTGAAATTTTACTTTATTTAAAAAGGTACTGTTACTTCAGTAGGTTGTTCTAAAATATGTTTGTATTTCAGTCATAGTTTCAGTAATTTGTTAAAGTTCTATACTGGATAGTCTCAGATCACTTGGAATTGTTTTACCTTAGCAATGCAATAATTAATAATTTTAATACTACTACATTGAAATCCTTGTAAAATATATATTGTATATTTACTTTTTAGATAAGAGAAAAAAGTTCTGTGTTTCAGGGAAATTTGAAATACCACAATCTGACTCATTTTTTAAAAAATACCTTCCCCATTCCACATGTACAGTGGCAGCCCTTCTTGCACTGACATGGCGGACCATAGAGACAGAGCCAAATGCAGCCAGTCCCCTGTGGCTCACTGGGCAGAGGAACTGAATGGCTTGGAGGACTGACTGTTTCCTTCTTCAATCTTTTGAATTTTGTCCCATGCATGTATATTGCTCATTCAAAAGCCTCAACTACCTCAGTTTACAAAAAAAGAAGAAAAAAACTAAAATTGCTTCCCTTTTCCAAATTCAGTCCCCTTTCAAAAAAAATTATAATCTTCCTTAAATAGGCCATGGTCTAGCCTCCTTTAGTGCATTTAGATGGTTCTACTCTGGAGCCCCAACGTGGATATTGAGACAAGATGATTTTTAGGCTGGTTGTCCTGCAAGGATGCTTTCCCACAGGATGCTTAACTGATGAATGCAGTCAGGCATTATGGTGAGAGTAAGTTTGAAAGAGCTCAGCAGTTAGTGGATTGCTTTGAAGTCGGCTCACTTGCCTAGAAGGATTAGTCCCTTTCTGTCCCTAATGAGCATGGCATTAGTGTAACTCCTTCTCAGGTGAGCAAGCATTTCCCTCTTGGTGACTGGCTAAAGATCCATTCCCAGTCTCTCAACAGAGTACCAAGGCCCATCAGTGAATATTTACCCATGTTGAAGGGAGGCCTTACCATAGACTCTCCTAAGATGTTACAGCTATTATGCTCATTCTATCTTCAACACCTAGAACCCCAAAATGAACCCCAGCAGCTTTCATCATCCTACACATTTCCAAAAATGAACAGGCCTCTTGTAATTCTCTTTATCCCAAGCAATGTCTGCTGGCTGTGGAAAGGAAAATATTCCTGGGAATGAGTGTGACCTATGTTTTTCCCAGGAGGAAGCAGGCAGTCCTCACATAAATAAAGCAGAATTGCTATGCCCTCCCTTTGCAATAATTGGAATTCCCTATACTGCAGTGAAGGATAGGATATAGACTTTTATTAAAAACTCAGGAGCCTGAGGATGTGGCTCAGAGCCAGAGTACTTGCCAAGCATGTGCAAGGCCCTAGGTTCCAGCCCCAGTACTGAAAGAAAAAAAATAGTTCAGGCAGGAACATATCTACAAGTTTGAGCCTTTCACCCCAAACAGAGTATTTTCAAATGAAGGCACATGTGAAGATCTGTGGGGATAGGACTGAAAACTGAGTAGCCACAGGTAATCATCAGTCTCTCTACCTCCAATTACATAGCCCACAAAATCTTTTACCACCTTGGCAAAAAGCTAAGCGAGCTTGAGGGTCACTCCCTAGTGGCAAATAATACTGAGCCATGCAGCAGCCAAAGGACCCGATGTACGAGGCGAAAAAAGAAAGGAAAGCACATACAAATCTCCAAAGCCTGTGTCCGTTATCGTTAAGGAAGTCTACAGAATGGCATCACAACTCTAAATCTGTTTGATCGCTTTGAACTCTAATGGAGACAAGTTGTTCACGTAAATTTTGTATGTGTATTGGACAGATTCCTAGGGGTCAAGTTCAAATCTGTAACATTCAAAGATTCAGTGTTTAAATCCTGCACGTTTGAGGATGTGACTTCAGTCAACACCTACTTCAAGAACTGCACATTTATTGATACCATTTTTGACAACACAGGTAGGTGTGCCGCCAGCACTGCCTCCAGCTGGGGTTTCTTCAGAGCCCAATAGGATAACTATGGGATGGGTGTGCCCGAAGACTCGTGGGGCATGGATATTAAAGTGTAAATGAGGCTAGGGTGGTGACGCATGCCTGCCTGGAATCCCAGCACTTGGGAGGCTGGGGCAGGAGGGTCACTGCCAGTCTGAGAGCAGCATAGGCTATATACAGTAGTGAGTTCAAGGCCAGCCTGAACTGCCAAGCAAGACCTTGTCTCAAAACACCAAAAATAAATGAATGAAGTGTAAATGAACAGGATAAGCTAGGAGGATGCAAATTTGAGTCCATCCTGGGCAACTTAGAGACCGTGTCTCAACATGAAAAAGGAAAAGGGCTGAGGATGTAGCTCAGTACTAAAGCCTGTATTCAGTCCCCAGTGCTGCCCCCCAAAAAGGAAATAACAAGTTCTCTGAATCAGGTTGCATCAAAGATAAGCTTTATTGTTTTTTTGGTTAGATTTAATGCTAGCATTGGTTGCCCGATTCAAAGTTGGAAAAAAAATTGAAAAGCTTTTGGTTAATAATTTTAACCTGTAGTTTTGTAACTGACACTGTAAAGTAGAACTCTAAACTTTATTTGTTGAGTATATAGCAACACCCTTTTGTTTTAGCACCCCCAAAGTGACAGAATATGTAGATGTCAGCCCTAGAAGGCTAGGAGCTCAGTTTGTTTTTTATAAGAGAGGAAGATGAGCTATAGATGGCAAAAAGTGATAAAGTATAAAGATCTGCATTATCTCTTTATGTTTTCTCTCTTTTTTGTGTGTTTTATCATAAAAGACCCATCCCCAGTTATATATAGGGAGATGGTGATTTGAGGCTAATAGGCCCTTCCATCTCCCCAGAGCTAGCTTTAAATAAATCCTTTTTTCCTTTTGACCCAAATACATGGCTTCCTTTCACTTGGTCAGTGGCAAGCAGACAAACCTGCATAGGAGCCTATGCGACCGACCGCTAACAGTTTGTTTTGAGAATCCTGGTTCCAAAGGCTGGGGTTTTTGGAAGCCAGCCTTGTTCCACAGTCAGCAGAGACCACAACCTGGGACTTAGCTCAGTCAGGTACTGTTTTAGTACAAGCCTGGAAACTCCAGGGGAAAAAAGAAAAGGAAACAGAGCCAGAGCGTCTGCTCCATGCTGTTTCCCATGCAAGAGGTCAGACACCAATTTTCTCACAGCGTTTTCATGACAGCAGAGGCTCAGAAACCTTTGTCATTTGGCCACAGACACAGAGCTAGTAACAGCAACAGCTGATGTTTGATGTCAGTTTATCTGATTTCCAAGCCCCTATTTCATACACACACATACATTGGTCCTGTGAAATGAGTGCAGAGTAATAGTTTGGCGCTGCAGGTGGATCAGTGTCCACCCCGGGTGGCAGCTCTGTCTTTGTGTACGCAGACAAGAGCCAGCTCTGCTCAGCTCCAAATGAGAATGAGCTCTGCTGTCCTTTGGGGTTTGTTTGTTTGTTTGTTTTTTGACTCAGGGTCATGCTATGCAGTTCAGGGAGACCTTGAACTCACATGTACCCCAGATTGGCCTCAAACTCACAGCGATCCTCCTGCCCACCACACCCCATCCTGGTGTCTTTGATTTTTAAATAGCACTTCTGGCTATGGTGGTGCAGTCCTGTAATTTCAGCACTCTGGGGGGCTGAGACAGGAGGATCACAAGTTGAGCCTAGCCTGTCCAACTTAATAAATTAGCAAGACCCTGTCTCAAAATAAATGAATGAATGAATAAATAAATAAATAAATAAATAAATAAGGGGGGTGGCTCAGTGTGAAGGCCCTGGATTCAATCTCCAGTTCCCCAGAACAAATAAAAACAGTGCTATCTATCACTCACCTTCTAACCTATTCAACCTTAGAAAACCACCTCTCTTTTCCTGACAGATCTTGATTGGCAGGGAGATAACAGCTTTGATTCTCACAGGCTTTTAGAACTCACCGCGGGCTGCAGTCCTTGCACAGATTCAAGTTCAAGAAAAAAATTCCCTAGCAGTAAAACTAGAGACCTTAAGGATGAGGCTTACCTCGTACTCCAGTGGGTTCATCCAATAGCCGTTAAATTACAAATTCAGCCTCAACGACCCAAGGAATGTCCTGCTCCTTCTCTAGCAGTGATAAGGACTATGCATGGGTATTTTAGAACAAATTGTTTTGGTAAGGATAGTGTGAAAGCTATTAGTACCATAATGATGACCTTTATACAACATGATAATTAGAGCAAAGTAATATTGCTAAGGAGTAAGCAAGTAATATAATTAGCAATGGCCAACCACAGGATTCAGAAGACAGCTGGACTCTATAACTTCATTTATTCCTACATTCAACAAAGTTATCCATTCTTTCTGCTACTTTGTAACACGAAATCCAGAACTAGACCTCATGCTCTGGCCGGGAAAGACACAAAAAGTCCAGCCGGCCCAGGCCTTGAGGTCCTCAAGGAATTTCCCATGATGACACTTCTGGGTTTGCAGTAGGCTTTCTGATCCTGAGACCTGTTACTTACACTTGCTAAGCTTGTCATCAATTCTTTTTGTTGTTCCTCCAGATTTTGAGCCGTATAAATTCATTGACAGTGAATTTCAGAACTCCTCGTTTTTTCACAACAAGACGGGGTGCCAGATTACCTTTGATGATGACTACAGTGCCTACTGGATCTATTTTGTCAACTTCCTGGGGACACTGGCGGTGCTTCCAGGGAACATCGTGTCCGCTCTGCTGATGGACAGAATCGGCCGCTTAACCATGCTAGGTAAGTGCTCAGCCTTCCTTGAGGGAAGAGCCCTGCCCCTACTTCCTGCCATGCTCTCTGCTCTCTGAGATCTGCAGCCCAGAAGGACCTTTCATCTGGAGTAAACCGCAGTGGAAATGATGCCTAATTACATTTCATTTGTGCAGTTTCCATGATTTAACAGACTGAACAGCCAATTATGTGTAACTAATGTCTATCTTTCCACTTAAGCGCCTGAGTAATGGATAATGTAAGCTGCCTGCTTGCTGTGCTCAGAAGGCACCCAGGCAACCTGTCACACAGGTGAACACGCTGGCACTTGCTCATTGTGCAGCTCAGGCTGTAGCTGCTCAGTGGAAGTCAGTTTTCCTAAGTCCTCCAAGGCCTAAGGGGCCTCACTCCCCAAAGATGCTAAGAAACGCTCCGCCCTTGTCTGCACCATTGGCAGGTGGCTCGATGGTCCTCTCGGGGATCAGCTGCTTCTTCCTGTGGTTCGGCACCAGCGAGTCCATGATGATCGGCATGCTGTGTCTGTACAATGGGCTGACCATCTCGGCCTGGAACTCTCTCGATGTGGTCACTGTGGAGCTGTACCCCACAGACCGGAGGTATGTTGACATGGGTCCTGGGATAGAGGTACCCCAAACCCCAAGGGACACTGAGAAAAAAAAAATCATAAAAAATAAGCCAAATTACCACTCTGCCAAGAAAGTGAAAATCCAAAAAAATTTTAGTTTATGAATTTGTAGTTTCTGCTCATATCTTCTAAAAATGTAGGGGAGATTTTTTTCCAAACAGGAATCAATAGGTCAGTGAAGCGTGACAAGAAGTTTAATTGTGCCCCAGCCTTAATTTGATGGCCAGCAGTGTGAGGGGCTATAATGACTCGGTGGGGAGTAGAATTTAGTAGGCTAACTTGGGCCGCATGTGGAGTAGCTCATCAGCCCGAGAGAGTGGGTACCTCACACTTGCAGGTGTCCAAGGGCATCTGCATTGAGCAATGACAAAGAGGTCTCTGGAACATGTCTCTTGACTTTCTGGTCTGTTGAAGGAAATCCTAACACATTTCTACCAAGCAAACAGAAACAAAAAAGATTGCTACTGGGGGAAAATGGGAACACAGAGACTTTACACCTCATGTTGAACAAGGGGCTAGAAGGCAGAACACTTGGGTAGAGCTCCAACAGTTGAATAATTAAGGTAAAAGAAAAGAAGCCCTACTTTGCCAGTCAACATGAACTAAGACAAATGCCCTTTGCCTCCTTTTATTTCATGCATAACTCTTACGTTTTGTTACTATAGGAGCCCTTTGTGTTGGAGTATTCTGCAGACTTTAAAATGAAGGAGGGATTTAGCTCAGTGGAGCTGCACCTACCTCTTAAGCGCAACATCCTGAGTTCGATCCCTGGTACCAAAAAAAAAAATAAATAAAATGAAAGAGGAGGGTTTTTTCCTTAAGATTATGCTCATCTTTTGGGGCTAATCATTGCTACTAATCCTGAGTCCCCACTCTGGGCTCATTTCTTTAGTGTGGCCACAATGAGCTACATTCTTCACATATCCAGACTCCAACCTATATTTTTTTCCTCAGGAATTATTTTCCTGAGTTTAAGGGAACACTTTTTTTTTTGGTACCAGGGATTGAACTCGGAACTTTGTGCTTGCGCTTGCGAGGCAGGCGGCGGAGCCACTGAGCTAAATCCCCGGCACTTAAGGGAACACTTTGATACTCATATGTCCATCTCCTTGTAGCAAAACCAAAGCTCAAGAACCCTGGATGCCAATTTGTCAAATATTCTAATTCAAACTCTCAGTGAACCCCCATTACATACTTGGACTCTGAAGGAAACAATGTAATCTCCATATAGCACCTTCTTCACTTATTTGGCATATGTTAATCTTTATTCTTCCTCAGCTCCCTGGGGTAGATGCCACGGGCCTTGGGGTAAAGATGCTTCCAAAAGCAAGACTGCAGCTTTCCCTGAGCTTACTCTGACCAACCTCTCATTATGGAAACAAGGCCTACATGGATGTGGATTAAACTATTTATAATTGTAGTCAGCTTTCCATCACTATGATAAAATATCTAAAACAAATCACTTAAAGGAGGAGAGGGTTATTTTGGCTCATGGTTTCAGAGGTTCTAGTCCATGGTTAGCTGGCTCCACTGCTCTGTGCCTGTGCGAGGCAGAACCTCATGATGGGGAATGTGTCATAGAGCAAGATACTTGGTTTGTGATGGCCAGAAGCAGAGAGAGAACTCACTTCTATAACTGACCCTCTCCCTCAAAACCCACTGAGCAATGACTACAGCCACATCCTGAAGGCTCCACCTCTGAACAATGCTCTACTCCAGAACAAGACTTTAACACAGGTGCTTTTGGGGAACATTCAAGATCCAAACCACAACAACATTTAAGATAAACCCTTCCATGTTAAAATGAGGCTGTCAGAGCCTCCTTCCTTTTCATTTTTCACTGTGATTTGGATACTACTCTAGATGAAATCACTGCCTACCACTCCAGAATTGGGGACATCCTTCCTCTGGGAAACATGATCCTGTTGGGAGTCTGTTGTAAGAAAGATTAAACCTCAAGTGAGGGAGAAACAGAGTTGCTATTTGTTAGCTCAGCTCCTCCAAGAAACAGACATCAAGATGGGACTAAGCAGGCCTTGGTGGTGCATGCCTGTGATCCTAGCAGTCTGGGAGGATGAGGCAGGAGGATCCCAAGTTTGACCCCAGACTGGGCAGCTTAGTGACTTACCAAGACCTTGCCTCAAAGTAAAAAATAAAAGGGGATGAAGATGTACAGTAGCTTAGTGCAAAACCCTGGATTTTATTCCCAGTACTACACACACACACACACACACACACAAAATCACACTAATGTGCAAAAATGTGCAAAGACTTGGTAAGTCGCTGTAGTCTTTTCTTTTCTCTCCAGAGCTAAAAACAAGTGAAAGTCAGTACAATATGGCATGATGAGGGTGAGGGAAGGAGGTGGGGCCCTGGAAGCATTGGAATACTAGAGAGGGTTTCTTGGAAGAAGAAACATTGAAGCTGGGACCTAAACAAAAGTAGAAGGCAGCCAGGCAGAGGCACGGAAAGAACATTTTTGACCAGAGCAGATACTACTTGAAAACCTCTAGTAGGAAAAAATTAGCAAAGTTAAGCAAAACTAGGCCAGGAAGGCTCCTGCACATCGTTATTATCGTAGGAGGACAAGGGAGCCCCTGAGGTGCTCTAGGAAGGAGGCCAAAATAAGACATGGGATAGAGTTCACCCTGCTGGCCAGAGAAACAAACAGCAGGAAAGCCTGTCAGAGGCTGCAGGTGGTGATGTGCACTAGAAAAAGGCAGGTGGGACGGCAGAAGTAAGTAGTCCACAGGCCCTTGGGTTCTTGGAGTTATGACCAAGAGCACTTGGCACTTGAGTAGATGTTGGAGTGAAGAAAGAAGACAGCTGTGGACATGTTGAGATGCAGACATGGGGGGAAAGCAGTTCCCACCGGGGTCAGGAAGATGATGAGACCCATCTGGGACATGTAGAATTTTCATGTCAGTATGGAGCTGACCAATGGGCATTTGAATATTTACATTGGATGCCAGAAAGACCCCTGAACTGGGAATCAAATGTATTCATTAATTCATCCAACAGATGCTTAGGGAATGGGTATCATGGGAACAGAACTGTTGTAGTCACCGGGACACAGCAGTGAACAGGCTGGAAGCCTAGAAGACTGGAAGCCTGGGAGGACCCTTGATGGGGCCTCCATTCTAGTTGTGGGAAGACAGTAAATAAGCAATTAGATGAATAGATATGGTGCAAGGTGCTATAGAGAAAAATAAAGCCACATGAGGCATAGAGAGTGCTGAGGCAAGGAGAGTTGTATTTGAAAATAGAATGGTCTAGGGAGATGTAGACCCTGTAAAGGTGACATTTGAGCAGTTACTTTGGGAGAGAGCTTTCACAGCAGAGGCAAGAGCTAGTGCATGGGTCCCTAGAAGTAGAAATCGGGTTTCAGGCTGGAGCTAGATGAACAGGGTGAAGGGTAAGAGATGATGGGGTCAGAGTAGATACTGCGGCCTTTATGTTGAGTGAAATGAAATTCATTGCAGTGTTTTTATTTTTAGCAGAGGAGTGACATGATCTGTGTATCTTAAGAATAAGCTCTAGGCCAGTGATGATGAACCTTTCAGAGACTGAGTGGCCAAACTGCAACCCAAAACCCACTTATTAATCACAAAATGCCAATACTGAAATTAAAGCTGAATACTGAGGCTTTAGTTTAGAAAAAAACAACTCATACAACTTGTGACATCCTTGCAGAAAGGGTCGTGGGTGCTCGCTGCAGTGTGCATGCCATAGGTTCGCCACCACTGCTCTAGGGGATCTGAGGTGGAGCCCAGAAGATCACTTAGGAGGTCACTGTGGTCACTGTGGCAAGAGATACTGGTAGTGAGAAGCACTTGGATTCTGCAAATACATTGAAGACCAACAAGCATTGCTCAAAGATTGAAGGTGAGGTGGGGAGGGGCGTATTCAGGATGGCTTCCAAGTTTTCCATCTGAGCAACTGAAAGGCTGGAACTGCCATTACTGAAATGGGAGATTGTGGGAAGAAGTTAAGGAGAAAGAAACAGGAACTCATTGTTGTTCATTTTAAATTTGAGGTGCTGTTAAATCTCCAAGGGGAGATGCCAAGCAGGCATTAAATATAGAGACCAGAGGTCAGAGGAGAAATCTAGGTGGGAAGTAAAAATTGAGCCTTTTCAGGATATAGATGCAATGTAAAGCATGATGATGGATGAGACCACCAAAGAGGAGGTGGACAGAGAAAAGGGAGCTTCGGACCGCTTAACCCTAAGACACTAGAAGACTTCTCAAGGAGATGAGCAGAAATCAGCAAAGAAGATTGGAAAGCAGCCTTGACTGAGGTAAAAAGAAAATTAAGGGATTAAGCCCTGGAAGCCAAGTGAAGAAAGTAGTTTAGGATGAGCAGCTTAGTGGAAGAACACTTGCCTGGCTTCCTTGTGGCCCTGGGTTTGATCCCAGCACCACAAAAAAGAAAACAAAGAAGTCCCTCAGGAAGTAGGAATAATCAGATGTGATAGATACTAATGATGGATCAGAAAGATGAGGATGAGGAATGCATTACTGTTCTAGCATTGGAAGTTAAAGCAGAACATCATTAACCTAGGTTATAGAAGGCATCAAGGCAAAGCCTGTGGCCACAAATCACAGTCGATCCTGAAATCGGCCCAGCTTTGTCAGTGAGCAACCTCACCTTTCCCCTGGCTTGGGGTTCAGTTGCCTTTTGAGCTCCCAGCTGGCTAAATCTGCAGATCAGAGATAAGTGGCACTGGCTATAAAGATCAAAGGACTATGAGGCACTCGGGCAGTGTGTACACATGCATGTTGGAGACAACCAGCTGCCCTTTTGTTCATTTGCACTCTTGTGTCATGACTTTCCTAGAAATGGGGCTCATGGCAGGATTCCAAAATCAGGCAGTAGGTTAGACCCCTGGGAGAGTTCAAGGCAAGGGGAACAGAGAGCAAAGTCCCACATGGAAATAATATTTTCGAGGAGACAGAAGGTTGAATCTAG